GAGACACAGAGACACAGAGACACAGAGACACAGACACAGAGAGCAGAGAGTATGTGCGTGGAGCGAAGGCTGACGGTGGTGTTGCCCCTGCTGCAGTGGGTCTACTCTGGCCGAGTGCAGGACAACTGTGGTCCAAACGTCTGAGAGTTCAGCCAAACAAGCCTGCTTGAAATTGCGACCCACGCAATACGTTCTGATTGAGGGTCTCGGAGCGTTAAAGTGTTTCGGAGCCGTGAACGAATGTGGGCAGGAGCCCGGCAGAACTCCATTCACTCCCGAAGCATTGGCTACTCCCGTGGGCAGGACCAGCCTGTTTCCGCGGGTTGCGGCGATTGCGCCCTCTTTGCCCGCATGCTGCAGTTGGCTGAAGGCAGGTCAGTATAGTCATGCCAATTGAACTTCACATGCGTTTGAGGATATTGAGGCTTATTCAGGGTCCGCACATGTGTACACTTGGTCGGTGGGCCACCTGACGGATGTCCTTGAGTTGGGCAAAGCTATGGTATTTTTGGTGTACGAGACCAAGACGAGTTCTCAAACCAGATACCACAGGTGAGTAGGTGAGGTCACATTCAAATGTTGCGCGCCGGTTCCTTAAGTGACGGAGTGAATTACCCGGGCTGCTCAATGATTTACGTGGGAGTGTTCATTCCATGTGGCATTCTACCACAGGCTGCCATTCCCACAATCAAGCTGTAAGGAGTTGCGGCTGGTGTGGAACTCGAAAATGCCGCAATACTCCACAAGTTTCGCGTCACCCTCGTCCGAGCTGTTTTGTCTGAGGCTGTTGTCGATTGTCCGTGCTGCTGTCCGGGTTGTTCGGTCTGTTTGTTGTTCGGGTTGTCCGGGCTGCATTCTAGGCTTGGTAGACCACTCTGCAGGGGGGACAGTCTCTATGCCACGCAGCACAAGGATGCTGGCGGACGTGCAGAGCCGTAACTGCATAGTGTTGCTAGTTGCTCAGCACTCAAGAGACGTATCCTGGCCCAGGGTCGACGCAAAGCGATCCTGTATTCTGTTTGTTGACCTGTGCTCTGCAGGTTGGGGGCTCCGGGATGCCGGGGAGCTGCAGGCTGCTTCGGAGTTCAAGTCCCGAGGGTCTTAGGTCTCTGATTTCCACATTCTTTACGATTTATAACTTCGTATGTTCACATTCCTGTGGTGGTTCGTTCCAGAAATGAGTATTTATCGGGTTGTGGTTTGCGTGAAGTTTCGGTTTTGGAATGATTGAGAGTGGTGGAGTCTCGCGATTGCCTCGTACATTCGCAGGACATTCGGGTAGTAGAGATCACCCCAAACCCAAAAACTCAATCGCGACGCTTAGCCCACTCCAGCTAGCTTAGAGCCTGAACGTGAAGCAATGGAGCTCAACAGGATTTACTGCTGGCGAAGCGCAGCCGACGGCGGCGCAGCTCTTTGGCGGAGGCCTGATTTGAAACATGCCGTGGATTTGCTTGTCATGGTTTGGGGATAGGGCCTTGCGTTTGGTGTTTGTGCGTTTCCATCGGAGCTTGGTATTTGCGTGGTTGTGGCTGTCGATGATGCTGCTACTGCTGCCAGTACCTGCTGTAGTGTCACCTTACGAACTATCTTGTCAGCTTTTTGACTCAAGTTCAGTTTTACTACATGATCGTCGACGCATGGCAAAAAAGCTCTGCAAACAGCACCTTGGGTTGGGGTTTCGGATGGCCTGCGGCATTGCGCAAGCCTTGTGTGTTTCGTTTGCACTTCCTGAGTGCTCCGTGTCTGAAGCCTCATGCATTTGGCTAGCTCCCTCACCAACCCTCGAAGGTTTCTAAGATTGCACACCCGCAGTCGCAGGCCTTGAAGACCTTGCCCTCAGCCACGAATGAAGTGAATCAAGCCATCGACCCCCGCGGTCGTGGCTCACGGCACGGGACTTTGGGAGGTGTAAAACTCGAACGGGCTGTTCACTCACATTGCACAGAAGCCTTTCAAAACAAAGTGCAGCCCGAAGCCTCATCCCCAGCCTACGAATATGACACGAATGGGCCAAACCTCTGAGTTCGAAAGTCACGGAAGTCACAAGTCTTCATTCCAGAAATCAGTGAATTGGAAGTGAGGCCTTTGAGTCGCCTTGAAGTCTCAGAAACAGGTTGTTAGGCATATCACCGTAGCAACTTAGGCTTCAGCAACGAGGCTCGATGTATGCTCAGCAGGACCTCCTTGCAGCCTACCGCAGCGGCCACTTGCGCAGCGTCGTTTTCTACTGCCCCACGTCCGCGGCCTCGGGGAGATGGAGTTCGTTGAGGGACATGTCCAAACGTTTGTTTCTTCAAGTATGTCATTCAGCTGTGGGAATCAGGGAGTTATGATGTGCAGCTTGTTTGAGTTTAGTCCTGGACCCTCTTGTGCCACTTCAAAGCTGAAAGCCTTATCCCATTTTAATCGGAGAGATCCTGGTGCTCTCGGCGATTTCCTTTTTTTCAAGAGGAAACATATCGAAAATACTGTTTCAGCTGTCTGCTTGCGTCGGTTAGGCGTGCTATCATCTAACTCATCTACTATCTACTGTAGCCCGAAGGTCCTGAAGTCTCCAAGCAACTTCGTGTGCCCGACTCCTGCGTGCAACCCCCGCAGGGTTGGGCAACCAGCAAACATACGCGAGCTCTTCAGTTTTCTTACCTACACCCCGTCCCCGTCCAGCTTTTACTCGACCCGCTCGCCCAGTGATGCTGGGTGTCGCGACTCTGAGGTTCAAAGATGAGGATGAGGCCGGCCCCCCTGGAGAATGCCGATGTGAACAGATTTGGGATTGGAAGCTTGGGTGTCAGATTTTGCAGGAGATCATGACTGCTCACTTTTGTATATACTGCTTTCTCAATGTTACCCTGCTCTCTTCGACGACGGTCATTGTCATAGGATTTTGTACATTGCCTATGGTGAGTGCTTCTTGGGGACGATCACAAGCGGGGTGTCCAGGAGGTGGGCCTTTGGCCGCTGGATGGCGGACTTGCCACGCTGCTGCTGGGTTCCCAGCGAACGGACTTGCCCAGACCAACGTGCATGAACAGGAGTATCAGCAGAAGCCGTGATCGAGGCATGCAATACAAGCGGGGAAAAAAGGTTCAACAGGTAAGAGGAGAGACGGAGATAGCAGCACATGGTGCATTGTACTGTGGAACTGGCAAGTGCAGTCATCGGCGGCAAGGACAGCACAAAAGCAGTTGTATCATACATCGTGACGGGAACATCGGCGAATGGCAGCAGTCTGATTTGTAGGGCAAGTCGTAAACCCCTGCTACAGCAATGCGAATAGCAAGAGTAATCAGAATGTTGATTCGACATGCTGATGCGGGCAATCGTCGCAGTTGGAGAAGCAACGGTAAGGACAGGAATCAGTCAATAGCAAGGGTGCTAATGTGAGACGGGCAGTTCTGGCCGTCATGTGTTTCACATTGTCACTTACAAACATCAGGTGCGCACAAGATTGGATTTCAACACCCGCTTTGTCTGCTATTACAAGTTTGCTGGCATTATTGGGGCAACCTGTCGCTCCCTTGGAGTTCTGCTCCTTTTCAGAGTTTGGATTTGGCACCCATCATCCTATATTAAGCCTCTGCGTTTTCGAATCAGCAGCACTGTCACTCCGGTCAATTGCTCATTATTCCACCTATCGTCTCTGTATCGGGGAATTGGGTTTTTGGGCAACCGGCCCAGCTTCTTAAGGATTAGATTTTTGGCAAGGAGTGATTCCTTTTGAGTTCATCTCCTATTGACGAGATTGGCCAAAAAAAGCGGCAATCTTGAAATCCGATTCGCAGCAGTAGGAGCAGGGGCAGGAGAAGGGGCAGGAGGAGGGGGAGGAGAAGGAGAAGAAGGAGGAGAGCAGGAGCAGGAGAAGGAGGAGAGCAGGAGGAGCAGGAGGAGCAGGAGCAGGAGCAGGAGGAGGAGTCGTAGTCGTAGTCGTAAGTAGTGGGGTACAGTAGTAGTGAGAAGCAGCAAGAAGCAGTAAGAAGCTGGTATGAAGTAGCGTATAGGCAGTAAGTAGCAAGTTGTAGAGTGAGCGAGTGGACAGCAATGATGACGCCGGCGGTGATGTAGATGACGACGACAACGTTGATGGTCATGACGGTTCTGGATTCACAGGCAACTCCGATCCGAGTACTTCCGCGCAATGTTCCGGGGTGGATGGGCTGAAAGTGTGGAGCCCAGTTTGGAATGTGAAGGTTCGGGAAAAAGGATTCCGGGTCGAATTGATGGTTCATCGAGAGTAGGGATTGTGGATTTGTTTGGAGCTCTAGATCTTAAGGTTGCGAGGGATTGGAGCACACAGCTTGCAGCGTATAAGGTTTGGAGTGAGGGCCACCGCATGACAACACAAACGGGCCCGAGCCAGCTATGGGCCGAGTTAGCTATGCGTCCACACGACAAAAGCATTTCGGGCAGTTCGGGCCAAAGAGCAACGAAGAACAGCTTCAACACCTACAAATCCTGGATGATGAAGTTGAACGAAACGAGAAAGGCACTTTAGGCGTGGATCAACAAGCAACAGCAGTTTTATCATCATCCTGGCGCAACCTGACAAGGTGTGAGTGCGAACTGGAGAGTGCTGGGTGAGCAGATTGGAGGTACTGCAACACAACACCTATCACGGATGGAAATGCAGCCTCGCTCTTGATCCACTTACTTGAACCACTTGAATCTACCTTGTCCTGACTCGACCTTGCCACTCCAGAGTGTTCGATTTGCCCGAGAATTCGATGGACAGGGGAAAGGGGGCTCAGAATGGAGAAAACCTTGAAGCGTGGCTTCTTGAGCTTAGATTGAGATGTGAGGCATTCAGTCAAACGATAGTCCTTAAAAACTGTTTGGGGACCACTGCACTGCGAACTGTGGTTCCAGGGTTCCTTGTTCAAGACGAGCAATCGGTGTAAGAACAGCTTATGCCTCTTCGTGAGCAAGCCTTCAAGAGAAGGATTGTAAACAGGAGACAGATATGTTTGCAGTCTTGTAGCTTACATCGCTTGTCTGTAGCCATGGCTGCTTCGACTATCATCCCATCAGTGGAGTATGTGCCTGTGGACACTGATCTCCAGAAGCTGCACGAGGTGGGAACGAAGCCCGAGCCACTGTACACTGCACTTGGATTTTGTTGACTTTGGGATCGCAGCCAAATGTAAATCCTTTTCGTTTCGACAGGTTGGCAAGACCTATCGTGATCTCCCAGCAGACATCTATGGACTGGCCATAGCGGCGGGCCGGCTGATATCTGCGGTAGCCTTTCTAGCTCAGTGTCCAAGAGTCTTGTGTCGGAAGGGGTTCGGTCAGTCGGGTGAGTCATATTCAATTTATCTTCCATTTTTTGCACTGTTTCTGCGTCGGTGTAGATTGCAGGAAGCCTAGCATCGGAGGCAGTCTCCCTGAGGCTTTCCTCCCCTGAAAGCTCCTTTCAAGCAAGTCTGAGAACCGAAAGCGAGGGGACACCTCCGCACTTGAAGCTTAAACCTTGAACTTTAAACTGCAAGCTCCCATGCACAGAAATTTTCCCGAGCCCTGGACCTCACCTTGACTTGTTGAAGCACTTGAAGCCTTACGCTTGACTGAGTAAATCCGTGTTTGCAAGGTGGCTCCAACATGCCGCCTGTCTGCGCACAAAGCCTTTGCTCTCAACCCCTTGATTACGAAACCCTCAACTTGAACCTGGGCTTTTCACCAGTGTTCGACCTGCGTTCAAAGGTCAGTGTCGTCGACCTGCCGGAGGTGATCACATGCAGAGCGACGAAGGCGTGAAGGAATAGCGCAAACTTTGTAGCTCAGCTGTCTGGTTTGTTTATTTTTGGTACTTTCTGATGTATTACATTGATTTCAGGGCAAGCAAGAGGGCAGCATTCGTAGTCACGACATTGGACATGGCAATGCAGACACACTGCGCCCCCTCAGTCAGCCGTAACGGTTAAAGCCCGAGATTCGATGGCATCCATAGGCTCAGACGGCGGGCGTCCTTTTCGGATTCACCGCCCTGAGTGTGAACCTGCGCCTTGCCTTAAGAAAGTTCGTGAGGCCCAGCGCTGATAAAGGGCTGAGGCCGAAGAGGACTCAAGTGCCTCAGGCCTATGAAGCTCCTTGACAGCCTGAGGGTTCGGGCTCCAGCCCAGGAGCTGCATTGTCTGTAGGAGTGTTAGAACGTTTTGTTCTGGAAAGTGTTTTGTGAGAGTATGGCTTCAGGACAAGGGTCTTTGGTAGAGTCTGGCTTCCATCCCTCCATCGTCAACTCATGTTGGCTGGGGACTCTGATGTATGTGAAGTCTTACGCTTCGAATGCGTTGGTCGACAGGGCGGATGGGACCAAGGCCGGCAAGCTTTGGACGAAGGGTTACTTCGGGGAGTTCGGTGCTAGGCTCGGGGGGGAACGAAACCAGGCTCATCTAGTGGATTCTGTGTTAGCTCAACGTGTCGACTGCCTATGTGTGAAGCTGTTCAAGTTTGAAGGCTAAAGCAACGCCTGAATCCCGAAACACCTGAAGAACCGAATCTCTAAATGTTTTGGAGTATAATCGCCGGATCTTTCTTCCAGCTAGAGCTTGCACTTGCAAAGATTCCAGGTGGCTTCAAGGACTAATCCTGTACTATGTGGCTTGGTTCGCAGAAGCACGTTAAGGGATTTAGGGTTCAGGGCTCACGAAGGAGAGTTCATGGTTGCAGGGCTCTTGAAGACTGTGGGTTTGGAAATTTGCGGATTTTGAGGAGTTGTCGACTTTGGGTTTGGGTAGGAGTTAAGAGTTGAGATTGCTCAGCCTGAAGCGCCAAAGCCGCAACCCAAGACCCATAGATGTCGAGGCAAATTCTGACGACCAAACGCATTTAGCCATCCAAGATAGTGTTCACTTGCGAGTTTTCAGATTACCGGTCACCGTTTGAAGGTGACTCATCTTTGCCGTATGCCTCCGCACTTTGCTCTGGAACGAGGTGTTGCACATCGCAGCCTTTGTGCTTTCAGCCGGTGTAGCGGTGTCCCAGCAGTATGCATTGGTCGGCTTTGGAAGCTTCATTGTCATATTGAGGGTTTAGTCGCGTGGCTAGCACAATGGAGTCGGGGCGCGCCGTTTTCCCGCCGGGGAAGCAGGATAAATTCGAAGGCCTGGGATATTCACCGGCGGTGACTTGCGGCCCATTCTTGTTCGTAGCGGGCCAGGTGGGCGTGGGGGATAGCGGCGTCGTTGAAGACCCGGAGGCCCAGTTTCGGCTGGCTTTTGAGAAGCTCTTCGCGCTTTGCCGCGAGGCGGGTTTCTCAGTGCCGGGAGATTTGGTGGAGGTGAAGACCTTCCATGTGGACATGGACAAGCACGAGGCAGCATTCTTTAAGGTGAAAAAGGAGTTCTTCCCGGCTCCGCCCTATCCGGCCTTCACCGGCTTGATCGAGGTCCAGAAGCTGGGCATGAGCGGCCTTCTCCTCGAAGTTGCCGGCACTGCCTACCGAGCTCCGAGCCCTTCAAAGTGAGGGACAAAAGGCTTTGTCTTGCCGTAAGGAGCCACAAATCCCGCACTGCTTGACCGTTTGTTTGGGTTTTGCGTTCTCTCAGGATATTCGAGGTTTTTGATTGTTGTGGTGCTGTTGTGGTTGTGGTTTGGCATGTTGCGTGTTATGGGTGATGGTGGTGTAGTGATGCGTTGTGGTCGTGTTTTGGGCTAGAATCCAGCAGCTGGCCTCAAGCCTCCTAGACAGAAGATGTACAAAGCTTTACCAAGCCCCGAACCCACAGTCCTAATCGAGGTGAACCACTACATTGTGCATCTTGCTTGCACGAAGAAGATGCAAATATGGGTTGAAGTTTCGCACAAAGTTTTCAACGTCAAGGGGGTTATGCTGTTGCCGCGTGTGTGTGTGTGTGTGTGTGTGTGTGTTTTTTTGGCATGCAAAGCAGTCCTGCCGAAGCTGAGTTCAAAATCCCTTTGCATGTCCAGCTTTGATCAGACCGATTGGGGACCGGTTGGGGCGCGGGTTCTCCACAACAAAGCAAGCTCGAACATCTCGAATCTTGCAGAGCCAAAAACGAGCTGTCATCCCTTCGTTGAGAAGCGCGTTTCCTTGATTCCCTAGGCAGGGTGCAGTTCACGAAGCGCAGGCACGTGCTGGGATCTCTGCTGGTAAACTTGGCCTTTCAGAACAGTTGAGATGACAGGTTCAGCTCTCCTTTTGGGTCGTCTTCTGTAGTTGCGCGCAGCATGCGCCCAGGCCTTTACCGTCTGTAGAGGAGGTAGTTTAGGTCCACTGTGCTTCGAGGAAGAGGTGCAGCGAAACGGGCCAGCCAGTTCCGTAGCAGGCAGCATGCAACCGACAAACAGTGGTTTGCCCGCCAGGAAAACTACGCCGAATTCCACAGAAAGGTGTTCGATGAGGATGCTTGGATCAAGCCACTGCTGGCCCTTCACCCCCAATCTCCGTAATCAAGGGGGCACCTCAGCCCTCCGCTTGGAACTCCCAGAATTCAACATTCAATTGTGAAAGTCGAGAGACTAGAATTGTTTCGGGAAGGCAGATCCATCCACGAGATCCGGATGTCATTTTCTTGAGTGATTGAGCGGGGCAGGGGTGTAACATGGGGCGTTTGCAAGGGGAATAGGCTTCCTTTCAGGGTTGCCCTCAAAGGCGTCTATACGGCCTATGGTTCTTTAGATAAGGGGCCGTAGCAATCAGATGGTATTGGTTTTAGGCGGGTATATTTCCATATATATATATATATATATATGTATGTGCACGATACCTTTAGGGTCATTTAACCACGGTTTTATATTTGCAATACTAAACGCCTAGCTAAATAGTATATGGCTAAG